ACGAGAAAGGGTTGGAACTAAGAACTGGCCACGGTCGATCGGGCTGGCAGTATCAAGAGAAAACGATCGCGACACGTTGTACGAGAGTTCGCGAAGAGACGCGAACCGGGCGGAATATAATCCGACAGTGTGCACGAAACGTCCAAGCGAGCGTCGCTGGAGGACCTCGAACGTGGTCAGGATTCCCCCCTCCACCCAACCCACTCCCCCTACGTTTCTTTTGCTACGTCCGTTCGCCTCCCCTCTCGCGATGCGTCGCCCAACGCCCTCTCCCATCGACTACTCGTTGCGTTTCAAGACCCCACCACCACCGTCGTTCCTCGATCCACGATCGGTTCGCGCCTGCTCTGCTTTGTGCATCTTCCTAGTGATTTACACGGTTGCGTCTGGAGACTAAATTCCTCCCTAGATGAGTATCTCGACAGAGTACGAGATACCAACCGTTTACGTCGACACTTTACCAAATACTTTTTACGATTCTATAGTGCCTAGTATTCGAGTTACACATTGTGATTAGCTTGACGAATAGCAAAAATATTTCGTTGAGGTTATGTGGAATGTTTACCGAATGAAATGATTTCTAACTGTCAGGGCCATCTTTAATTTAAGATTGCATGCATGGTAGTATAACGATCTTGTAAGATTACCAACTTTTGAGTTTCACCGTAATCAGAGTCTCGCCAGAGAGCCACAGTTAAAATTCCTGTAAAATTGCTAACTTTTCATAATCTTCTCCGGCAATACCCTTCGCCGAGCTCGAGACGTGAAAAGGCAGGAATCAATTTCTTTTTATCTGGGGAACCAGACACTGCTTTTAAGGGACAGAGGTGGTTTCGGAAAAAGCGTTCGGAGGTTTCCAGAGCGAAGGAACGTCGCGTAGGAACGACCACCGTGAAAATTGCCCGGCGACAGGAATGCGGCGACGCGGGGAAAGCGCTCTAAGGTCTGCCCGATGGTGGCGTCACGCGATACCGAAAGGTTTCTCGGAAGACAACGGGTACGACTCTCTCCGTGGACTGTAAACCCCTGGGATGATTCACGCGACGAACCTCGCATCGAAGACTCGCGATTACGATTTACGCGCTCTCCGGTTTCGTTTCACGGGCAAACAAAACGCGAAACGACGATTACGACGCGACGGGGTCCAATTGTCGGCTGAAACGGGGGGCTTCCTAGAATCGAACGTCCATCGAAGTTGGCTACATTTGTAGACTTAAAATAGAGAATTTTAAACAAATAATAAAACCGAGCAGGTTAGGTTCGACATGCCTGCAATAAAAATTTGAATACGATTGAAATTCAAATTTTATGAAAAATTATGACATCCGTCGCGGGTTGAAGTATCTATTTGTATTATAGTTTAGTATTATAGACTTTTTACGATTTAAATAATCGAAAAGGATCGAAAGTACGGTCAAGAAATGAAATTATTTCACTAACACACGGTTCATCGATAGATAAGCATTGAACATATCCAATATACAACGATACCGATTAAACAGCGTTTATTTATACCAATGTTGACATACTTTATCACCAGAAAGAGACTCAACATGCAATTACCACGATTAAATGCAGTTTATTTATGTTAATGTTGACGTGTTTTATCGACGAGAAACACACAGTTGGGGCAATAATAGAATTTACATTGTTTTCGTCCACTTTTCCACCTCTGTGTTTCAATGGTAAACAAAGAAAAATGCATCGTTCCGTCATTGCTGTTGAAACAAAAATTGAAAATAAAAATATGTATACTGATGTATTGGATATTATGTGATATATATTGAATATGATATTCGTGTAACGATAAACAATTATTAGTAATGACGCCTCGTTGTTTTTAAACATGTATGTATCTAGATTCTTGATATTTCTGAATCTATCGGGTGAATTCTTTTATACATTCAAAGGTATAATAATGTTTATTTAACATTAGTCGTTTCAGTTTTGTATTGTATTTATAAAATTTCCAATATGATGAAACAGGTATAGTAATGTTTATTTAACATTAGTCGTTTCAGTTTTGTATTGTGTTTATGGAATTTTCAATATGATGAAATAAAGAAATAGCCAAAGCTAGCTTGATATTTTGGAAATAATTAAATACTCTAATAATAATAATTAAACATATATGTATCTAGATTCTTGATACTCCTGAATCTATTTGGTGAATTCTTTTATACATTCACAGGTACAATAATGTTTATTTAACATTAGTCGTTTCAGTTTTGTATTGTATTTATAGGATTTCCAATATGATGAAACATGCATAATAATGTTTATTTAACATTGGTCGTTTCAGTTTTGTATTGTATGTATAGTATTTCCAATATGATGAAATAAAAAAATAGCCAAAGTTAGCATGATATTTTGGAAATTATTAAATATTCTAAGCTAAAATTCTGCATTTGGCATCCTCACCCCCTCCCCTCGAAATCCTCTAAATTTCTCCTCGATCGATAGCGTCATTTGAAAAAATAATTTTGCACAAAGCCCCCTTTTGCCCCCCTAAAATTGTTGACGAATCGCCGGACCTGTAATGGCTACGCGATCATCGACGACGCTTTGCGTCACTGGGTCGTGCGGCGCTAATCTCGTCAGCGAGATACGCCGCAAAAAGAGAAACGAAAAGTAGATCGTCCTCTGCACCCGAACTTTAGATATCTAAATTCGAAGGTCGTGGCCCGTGCACGTGCACGCCGCATGGGGAAATCGACAAACAGTTCGAGACGTTCGCCATCGGCACGAACGATCCCTCGGAAGCCACCACTTCGTCGCGAATCGATACAGATCGATTCCCGAAAAAATCCTTTTCCCGGGCGCTCGAGTTTTCCCCGATCGTCCACCGTAAACGACGACCACGACAGAGAACCGATAACGCTCCCGTTTTCCTCGCTGGCCAGACGGATAGCGCGATCGAAGAATCGTTTCTATCGGTCAATAAACTCTTATCGCGGTCGCGTACCAACGGACGAGCACGAACGCGAATCGATTCTCGGGCCGCGATCGAATCGAGAAAACTTTTTCCGCGAGACGCGCGAATAATAACAGCATCGCGGGGCAGATAAGGAGCGCGCGAGGGCGGATGAGCAACTTGTGCTCGACGGTTGGACAAAACTGTTAGAAATCGTTTTTTATTTCATGTTTAATTGCATGGTTCTGAGTCTGAGTAAAATTAAATATTTCAAGTTAAAATAGCGTGCAAACTGCATCCGAATTTCAGGTTCCGCGCAGACGCGTGGGTGCACGCATGCGCGGGACGTAGGGAGCCTCCGATCGGAGGGTTCGATAGCGAAAATCCGTAGTGCGCGCGACTCGTGCCCCGGGGACGAATCGGCAAACAGCAAAAGATGTTCGTTTTCACGAAACTGTTAGCATAGGGCCGCGGAGGCGTCACACTGTTTTCCATCGTCGGTTTAGCTTTATTTTCGGTTTTGTATCGCCTACGTATACAATCTTGGGAACACGGAGCATCCCTTAAGCCGTCGAGTAAATATTTTCGCGAACGGTCTGCCAGCGCAGACGAGTCCTCGCCCGTTCGTCGATCCCTACCGAGAACACGCAAAAGACTATCGTGTGTCATCACTGACGTAATTGTTAAGCACTCTGCATCAGCATTTTACGTGTATAGCTTTAAGGTGTTGAATAATATCCCTAAACTTGATCAAACTCGATCTCATTCGTTTCTAATGATATCTAACACTAGTGAAATCGTCTGATCTGTACTTTTACAATCGCTTCTTTATACTCAGACTTCTACCTTTAAATTTCAACTATCGATCTGTTTCTAAAATGAATTTAAAAGCCACGAGTATACTCCATCCAAACTGTATCAGATAACACTCGCTGGTTAGGACAACAGACCTTAGATCTCATCCCCATCACTTTTTCACACTTGGATCACTAATTTGTCTCTGTTCCTATCGAAAGCAGCGAATAGGCAACAGTCGTGAAAATGAGAAAAAATCCCCAGAAACTACTTGGAAGGAATAGTAATGAATTAAAGAATATCCCCAGATTCGGTGCAACGTCAGTCCAGTGTTGCATCCGCTATCGGATGAAAGTCGATAGTCTAATCGTCGGGTCCGATCCCTATCGTTCTCCACGGTTGAATCACCGTATCACGGGTCCTATTAAACTGGTCGAAGCTACAAGTATTCCAACACTGGTGCACGATAAAATTCCAGCTACAAGTTTCTGAGCAGACGGTATCGATAGATAACTAGTCGTGAGAATAAGAGTCCACGGTAGCTAGGTCAGACGAACGACAAGTCAAACAAGATAGTTTCCGTTCCAACGTCAGGTCTAGTCATTCTCTCGTAGCTACTTTCAATCAAAAATTGTAAACAATAGTCCAATTACTGTGTTTGGGATCTTATTGAATTTGATGAAACTAGGAACACTTTGACTGTTAACTGACATCGTGGGGTATTTTGGCACCCCCAGGGATACTAATTACCATCTGGTCACAATATCAAAAGATATGGTGGCTCTCTATGAACGAATAACGGTAAATTCAGCTAGTTGGGGAAATAGCTCGTAATTCACTTCTCAACTAGGAATCACAACGAAGCAACGCCACAAAACGATCTACCTTTCCCAACAGCAAACGCATAGCGTATAAACAAACGCGATAGTTAGGTGAATCACAATTTAAACGATATGGTCAACGCGTTCACTGTCCGGTCTGTTAGCGGCGTATCCAAAAGCGTGACGATAAGGCCCGTATACGGGTCACAGACAGTGAACGTGTTCGATCACGTCGCGTCCTCCCCATAGTCTGAACTTTACGCGAACAATATCGTACGACACTCCCGAGCAGCTAGACCGCCTAGGCGATATGTCTAATCTCACCCCCCGCCACCGGGCGTTCGAGCAACACCTCGTCGATCTTATTAAACGCGTCGCGGGTTACGCGACGACTGGCCGATAGAAGGTTACGTCAATGGCTCCTATAACGGGTCCGTGTGCGAGGGATTCTGATAATGAACGTCACTAACCTGGGTAACGGTCCGCTGGGCGAGTGAGGCGTCGAGTTCGCCTGATCGTGTTCTTGGTGATGATGGGGCGTACCGGCCGCGTGGTGAGCGTAGATCGACTCCATGTAGAGCTGATCGGATACGCGATCGGCGTCCTGCGCCAGATGATTCGCCTGGACCGAGGCGGGCGGTTGCATGGCGGTCAGGTGAGCGTAGGACTGTCTGCCCTGCTCGTTCGGACTGTAGCCGCCGTCAGGCTGTCCCTGTCGATGCGGCGACGAGAGTCCTTGATCGTCGCGCGGGCTGCGACTGGAGCTCGGCGAGCTGCCGGTGCGCAGAGTGGGCGATCCGCCGCCGGCGCCGCTACCGTCTCCGCCGCCGCCGCTTCCGCTGCCTGCACCACCACCGCTGCCACCGCCCCCGCGTATCTGATGCTGAAGGTACGCGTCGTCGGGCAGCACCTCGTCCAAGTGATGATGATGGTGTTGATGCTGCTGGTGATGATGGTGATGATGATCGGCCGTGCCCACGTCGTTCGCGATGCTGTTCGCCCCGGTGTTGCCGAGATTCGGGAACAGAACGCCGAGAGTGAAGTCGCCCCTTGCGCCTCTCATGGCTGCCGCGATACCGCTCACCCTGTCCACGTCCTCGTGATCCTCCTGGTGCTGTTGTTGCGCCGACTGCTGCTGAGTTTGGGACAACGACTGCGACTGCTGCTGCTGCTGCGTCTCTGGGTCGTCCAAGCGGCGATGACCCGACGAGGCAAGCGCGGCGTGTTGGGACGCGTCCGACTGCAAATGGTGCTGCTGTTGTTGATGGTGGTGGTGGTGGTGCTGCTGCTGCTGCTGCTGATGGTGGTGGCGTTGATGGTGGTGGTGGTGGTGGTGATGGTGGGGATGGTGGTGATCGGTCGCGGTCGTCGAGAGCGTTTCAGTACAGTAACGATGCATCGTGGAGCGAGGCGCGTGACTGCCGAGCCGATTTCCCTCCGGCGACGCGGAGGTCTCGCTCGGCTGCCGGTTATCCCCACCATCGGGGACCGGCGGCTCTCTCGCCCTCGACGTAACGAATTGTGGCTGCTGCTGTTGGTGGTGACGGTGGTGGGGTTGATGGGAAACCTGTTGCTGCTGCTGCTGCTGCTGCTGCTCTTGTTGTTGTTGCCGCTGTTGCTCGTCCGTCGTCGGGTCGCCGCCCCCGTAACGGCGCGAATCCTGTTCGAGATAACCCCTTCGCGGCCGTGCGATAAATTACAAATTATGCCTTTAAACGTCTCGTTCTACCGTTGGGTTACTATTTTTTTTTTTTTTTTTTTTAACGTTTCGAGGTCAAGGACGAAGAGATCGAGATCGTGAACGCGGCGGTCGGAATAATCGGTAAATGTTTTTGTTTCTCACCTTTCGCGCAGCGCCGGGCTATCGGGCTCGCCGTAGTCGAGTGGATGCAGATCGTAGGTGGCGCTGATATCGTTTCCGTGATCGGCAGAAACGGCAATAGCAGCCGCGTCGGCGCTGCCCGTCGACGCCGCCGCGCCATTTTCAATTTCCTGCTGTCCCGCCTCCAGCACGCCCACGCCGTCCCCGCCCTCCTCGCTTCCACGCTTCTCGTACCCGGTCTGGCGCCGTTGTTGCTGCCGTTCGAACAGCTGTTGCTGTCGAAGAAGCTCCTCCGTGCCCGCGTTCGTCATCGCGTCCCCGTCCTCGTTCCCTTCGAACGTCTCCGCGACGACCTCCGTGCCCCTGTCCTCGGTCCCGTACTCCGTCGTTCCGTCCACGTACACGATCAACGCTGCGAACATCCACGAAACGTTTCGATATTAAACAAGCTTTCTTGCTCGATGAAAATATAAACAAACTTCCATATTTATGGTTCATTTTTAAAGCGTATCAGTTGAAATAAATCGTATGTTGAATCGTAACTTAAATTTGTTCGAATCTGATGTATACACGGTTGGCGAATAGAAATGAACGTTTTTAAAAATTTTTACCAAAGGCGAGGTCTCGAGAATGTCGATGACGTTTGAATATTTGTAATTGCAAATATTTTCGTCGAAACTCGGTGAAACGCTCCATTTCAGAACACAATTCAAGTTTACTGACCTATAACTTGAACTGTAATGTTGAAAACTTGTTTTCCCGCGTTTAATTAGATATTTCTAAGCTGTAAGCTTGCAAGCTACTATGGAGTTAGAGTACGTAAACGAGTAATTGTTTGAAGAACGTCGAAAAAGAAAGAGAAATATGCGTATTGCCAGAATCCCTAGACCGTATCGATGCGAAAAATGGAGGCACGCGGGCGTTTGGTCGTCGCGTCTGCCCCGAGGATCCAGGGAAGATCGCGATCGAACGATACCAGAGACCGATCGATTAGATCATAACCGTCGAGGTCGGCTCGTCCCGACGATACGGACACACTGTTGCTAGCCGGTACGTTACAAAAATAACTTGGTCGTCGTTATCTGGTGCTCGTTAGCGAGCGGCGCGCGTTCCTCCTCGTCCATCGTGTGTTTGCGCGCGAGCGTAACCCGTCTTCTCGCGTCCCGAGTCCGGCAATTGTTCGCGCGAGTGCGGACCAACGATGACAAAGATCAAGGATAGAAGGGGTGACGGAGAGAGAAAGTTAGAAACGACGTTTCGCGGTCCCGTGCTCCTGCTGGAAGATAAAAAATATTATTTTTAATACCCAAGGGTCAACCGATGCCAGCAGCACCGAGCATAGGCCACCGACGGACCTACGGTTCGATTACGCCCATTCTCTTTCCACTCTTCGCCACTGGATTCTCTTCTTTTTCTCGCCACATTTATCTGCACTGTGATTCGTTCTATCTGTTAGGTTCATTTGGACAGAATCGTACCTGTAACCGGTACCTTTTACCGAGTATTTATCCCAGAATATCTGATGCATAATTTTCTCTGTATTTTTTACATTCATCTGTATCTGAGACTCTGTTAAGTACCTGCACAGTGCCAAAAGCAAAATGCCCTTTATATTAGTGTTTTAGAATAAAGATTTTTGATCATTCTAACCTGTATTTATTCCTAATCTCTCGTATATTTAACCAAAACAACTTTCATAAAAAAAACAATAATTCACATTTATCTGCACTGTGATTCGTTCTATCCGTTAGGTTCATTTGGACAGAATCGTACCTGTAAGAGCATTCTTGGAGGATCTCATCCCAAAATATATGATTTTCTCAGTATTTTTATTTAGTATATTTCTATATTTTCATTTGTATCTGAGACTCTGTTAAGTACCTATACTTGTATTGCACAGTGCCAAAAACAAAATGTCCTTTATATCAACGTTTTAGAATAAAGATTTTTGATCATTCTAACCTGTATTTATTCCTAACCCCTTTATATCAACGTTTTATAATAAAAATTTTTGATCATTCTAACCTGTATTAATTTCTAACCCCTTTATATCAATGTTTTAGAATAAAGATTTTTTATTATTCTAACCTGTACTTATTCCTAACCCCTTTATATCAACGTTTAAGAATAAAGATTTTTGATCATTCTAACCTGTATTTATTCCTGACCCCTTTATATCAATGTTTTGGAATAAAGATTTTTGATTATTCTAACCTGTATTTATTCCTAACCTCTCGTATATGTAACCAAAACAGTTTTCATAAAAAAGCAATGATTCATACGACGCAGATAAATCTCAAGTATCTGCTTGATTCATCTACTTTGTCTTTGTCTCATCGAGTGACGGAATTGTATCAAATATCGAATCGAGATTTCGTTCATCGTTACAGGAATACCACTCGAACTCCGTGTCTACGTTTCTCCCGCCATTTTTCTCAAATCGATCCCGGTAATCGATCGTCGAAACGACCGCGACCGTCGAGCATCGTAACGAAAACGAAGGGGTTAAAGACGGTGGCGAAGGAAAAGATGGCGGACGCTAGAGGTAGAGAGACACGTAGGTACCCTAGAAATAGGAAGTGGGGGGCGGGGCGTTGTGGCGCGAGAGGGCGCGACGAACCGGTTCGATTCGAGAATTCGAATTAAAATGTACGTAGGGGGGGGAGGGAGGGGCGCGGAGCTCATTGGCGAAATTTTCGTCGGACGAGGATCCGTGAACTCGCGGTGTGTGGTTCGTTTTAACGATATCTTTTACTCTCTCCCCCCCCCCCCTCTACCCTCCCGCGAACACGGTGTATCGACTGTTTAACATTCAGCCGACCTTATTGACGTTACCTAATCGAATTGGAAAGGTCAGGCTCGCCGGATTATCTTGACGGTTCGTTTCGCGGCGAATTCTATTAAAAAACATATTTTTTCGCGAAAGGTCCAAGTACGAGTCCCGTCCCACCACGCTCGGGATAACGTAAATACGATTGCGCGTGCAGATTCCTCCGATCCACGGCTCGCGAACGCTTATACAGGGTGGGGCATTTAACTTAGAGATCCGGGGGAACGTCGATTAGCGCTTCTATCGCAAATACAAAGTTTTTCTTTTCGTTCGGATACGCGATATCGTTGCATCGATCGAATTGGACGTAAATTGGGTGACTAATAATAATCACGAGCATGGAATTTGAAATTTATCGAATCGATCCAATGATTTGTCTATTTATTGCAGATGAATTTTCTGACCACTTTAAACGATATAAATTTGATTTTACGATTTGATGTTAGGATTAAAATCGTCGAAGGAAGTTAAGAATGAGTACAATGACCCGTGGTTAAAGGTCGTTCAAGGTCGTTCAAGGTCAACCGCGAACGAAAACGCTAATCTCGAAATAGATAATAGACATAGATCGAACAGTTTCGTATCTTCTCCGGTCGTTGGTGTTATTGTTCTACGATTGCACAGTGATAATCACAGAATGTAAACAAACACTCAATCACGTACACGTCGTATTTATCTATATTCATGAGCACGATTAAGCCCGTGGTACGATAGCGGCCAAAGTGCGGCCTCGTGAATTTCTCGAAATTTCGATAATGAATTTGGGAACATTCGTTTTTGCAACCCTGGTTCGAGATCTAGTATTTTATATCTCGAATCATGTAAGTTTACACGGATGTAGATAAAATATATTCTTCAATATTAATAATTTACCATTCGCTTATTGATATGGAAATTTATACGACGGCGAATGTATTTTGCATTTTTGAAATTTTGCGTAGAAGGTCTACCAAGCTTCGTGAAACGTAGAAAGTCGACTGTCGTCAAAGTTCGAGATAAGCAATGTACGCAGAAATATTTCCTGCCCGTTCGACGATTAGGAGCGTCCATTGTTGTTCCTATCGAGTGCATTTTGCATTCCAAGTTCAAGGTTAACGTTTCGAACAAGAGGAGAAACTCGCCTGGTTCGATCTACGAGAGCCTGCGGGCAGTTAAGCGAGCCGGATCGTTTCAGTTAAACGAACTAAGTCTACTTGGACAGGTCAGACCTTCTGAGACCAAAATTTCAGTCAGAAACTCCGCACAGTGGGACATTTAATCTCAGAACTCTACTCAGCATCGATTCTAACCTGCAAATTAGTAAATAAATTACCTCCTGCGTTTCGTTGGCGCTTGCAAAAGTTTGACCACCGATTTCATTGTGAAATAATTTTAATTTCAACTTGGGGAATCCAAAACGATAACCGAAGCTATCGATCGCAACAGAGAACTCGATTTAATCATCGATCCCTAATTTGTTATTATCTGTAGTTAAAACGACTTCTAATCAAACTATTTCACTCTACTCAGCGTCGATTCTAACCTGCAAATAAATAAATAAATTACCTCGTGCAAGTGTTCGATTCCTTTGTGGAATAATTTCAATTTCAACTTGGGGAATCCAAGACCACGATGATCTACACTATCGATCGCAACAGAGAACTCGATATAATCATCGATCCCTAATTTGTAATTATCAATAGTTGAAACGACTTCTAAATCAATTTTATTTATTTTTAATTTATTAATTTATTTAACGCGTATAGAATTGTTAAGTATTTTCTATAAGATGGAACTTTAGTGACTTCGACTTGGATTTGGACTCACTAGAGTTCCAAACTAGCGGCCATCTTGGAATCGAGTCGACTCGACGCATTTTCAGCTCCGATTCTAACCTGCAAATTAGTAAATAAATTACCTCGTGCGTTTCGTTGACTCTTCCAAGCGTTTCACCACCGATTTCATTGTGAAATAATTTTAATTTCAACTTGGGGAATCCAAGACCACGATAACCTACACTATCGATCGCAACAGAGAACTCGATATAATCATCGATCCCTAATTTGTAATTATCAATAGTTGAAACGACTTCTAAATCAATTTTATTTATTTTTAATTTATTAATTTATTTAACGCGTATAGAATTGTTAAGTATTTTCTATAAGATGGAACTTTAGTGACTTCGACTTGGATTTGGACTCACTAGAGTTCCAAACTAGCGGCCATCTTGGAATCGAGTCGACTCGAATTTTCTGCGTCGTCGCGAAAAGTGAACGAGTCGTTCCGGCGATTAGTTTTTAGCGTTTCACCCTGTATACGCGTGCACGGCTCGAAGCATAGCGAAACGGAGCTCCGTCGCTGTTATCGAAGACCAGAAGCTCCATTGTTGCGCGAGACGAATCGGTGACGAGACGCGGAGTCGCGGAGGCGTAGTGCCGCGACCCCGATTAATCATTCCGGGACGAAGAAAATACGCGATCGACGCCTGCACCGAACCCGCGGAGTCTTCGTCTCGGCCTCGGTTGCGAAACTGGGGTGGCCTGGGACCAGGGCTGCGTCCAAACACGAGCTAAATCATTATCTGAACAAACCTCTCCCAACGA